TTCGGCGGGACTTATTGCTGCTACGGCTGGTTTGTACATCGATTTATCATGAGAGAAAAACATTATTCTTATGGTTGAAAAGTTAAACTGATTCTGACTGATAAGCTCAAACGAACATGACCTTTCTTTTATTTCTTTCTTTCTGGTGCAGCAGCAAGTATATAGCAACTAACTGATCCTAATTAAACCGTCTATTCCTGTTGCATTGCATCATTTCGTGTTTCTTGCCAATAATAACCTACTTCATGCTGCTTTGATACCAATCATTCGCTGTCAGTCTAGGTACAGAATGTATCGTCCGTCCAACTGGTACTGGTATGTAGCACTAGTATATACTAGTCCTTATCGAAGTGGCCAGCCTGTACTATATGCTAGTTTGGCTTGCTCACGTATATAAGAAAACAAAGAAAAGGAAACTTGGAAAAGGCAATAAAGCATACCGAACCAAACAGCTGTAGTGTGCTTGCAGGTCAAAGGCTGCTGGTAGCATAGTGCATAGCCATGCATGAGCCCCAGTCCCGGTTTAGTTGGTCAAATTTTAAGAATTTGGCTATGGTAGCAATTTCGTTTTTATTTGGTAATTAGTATTCAATCATGGATTAATTAGGCTTAAAACGTTCGTCTCGTAATTTCCAATCAAACTGTGCAATTAGTTTTTTTCGTCTACATTTAATGCTCCATACACGTATCGTAAAATTCGATGTGATGACTAATGTACCACTTTTTAGGAAAGTTTTTATGAACTAAACGAGGCCTACTAGCTGCTTGCCTGCTTCCATTGGCCTTTGAAAAAACTTTCAACGAGGGCTACTACGGAGTACGGTATTGCACAGGCATCGTACCAGACTAGCAGAATTTTGTGTTCCAGCGTGATTTACGGTGCAGCCTACCTAGGCCTTATTTAGATGCCAAAAAATTTGGCAAAATATATTGTAGCGGTTTTCGTTGTTATTTGGTAATTAGTGTCTAATCATAGTCTAATTAGGCTTAAAAGATTCGTCTCGTGGATTTCGTCTAAACTGTGTAATTAGTTTTATTTTTTAATTATATTTAATGCTTCATGCATGCGTCCAATGATTTGATATGACGAAAAATTTTAAAAAATTTGGCAAAATTTTAGGAACTAAACTGGCTCCTACCAACTCCTGCCAATCCACTCGGCTCTGAGCAGACACAGGCACGATGAACTTGCCGAGAACGGTAGGCAGATTGGCTGTTGCAGGTAGTCTGATTTGATTTGGTTTCTGCCGTCCGAAAACGGCCGGACCAGCAGAGGCACCACGTGGGGGGAAATAATAATTGAGTGAGGGACATAGAGTAAGCGCTAGCAACTCCAAAAAAAAATAAAAAAATAAAAAAAACAGCAAGGCCCTACTAGGATCCACAAATCTCCCTCCGGTCCTCGTTCTCGGAGGCTCTAATTCTATCATCTGCCGTCAGCCACTCTCTTCCTCTTATCGTATCCTTGCGCCCTCCCACGGGTGTCGCTCCTCGCTGCCCCGGTGAGTGGATCGTCGCGTCTCCGGACTCTTCTCCGCAAGTCGCCCGACCTCACATCGCTCCCCCGCACAAGTAAATCCTCGCGCCTCCAGCATTTTGCCCACGAATCGCCTGACATCTTCCTCGCACGAGGATAGTCGCAAGGCACATAGCTCAGTCGATAGAACGAGGATAAGATATAAATAGAGAATGACAATGGGTTCCTTGTGTCAGTGTTTGTTAGAATGGATTTGAGGGCTAAGTATATGTATAAAGTCAGGTCTAAAAAAAATAAGGAAACCCTCAAATCAAAAGTATGGGGACCTGATGATTTGAAGGCTTTTGTTGGAGTTGCTCTAATAGCCTGCTGTGAAGAGAGAGTCCTGATCCTTCCAAGTTCATGCAATAGCCACATGTGCGGAAAGAATGCTTGTACAACCTGTAGACATAGATCAGGTCCACGGCGGCTGCTGCCGGCCGGGCTGCGCCGAACAAGGTTCGGCAGAATTATTAGGAGTCGGCTTAGTTATATCCAGCCAAAAATTATGGACCAAAAAATGCATCCCCGGTCCGCGCGAATGGCATTGGTATGCATTGTTAGGCACAGCGTAGCTGTCGGCAACTGTATCACGATTAGGCTGAAGATGTTTCGTCAGCTAGCTCTGGAGTCTGGAGTCTGGACACTGTGGTTGCCCAACATGTGTAGTGTGTTGTGCAAGGGTTGATTTTCATTTGGGAACGAAGATGATGATGATAATGACCTGGATCTGAATTTGTGTGCAACATAGCTATCGGTATTCAGTAGCATCAGGGTAGCAGCAAATGAAACAGGTCTTGGTGTGTTCAGTAGCAGCAGGGGTACCTAGCAGCAAGTTTAACTGCTGCATGCTTTGGGCGCTAGCTAGTACCAGACTACCAGTGGTAGTAAGCGACCGAATTGGTGGGCAGGCTGGCCCGGACTGGATGTGTTTGTTGTTCGTGACATGGGAGATCGATTGTGGTATTCAGCTGCAAAAGTTGCTCCTTCCCTTCGTGATCATGACTTTGGTTTTCAGTCAGATGTCTTTCACGGGGACGGAGGTAGTGCCATCGATCAGAAAACACATAAAGAGAAAGAGAGATGGAAACAAAAGGGGGAGATAGCGAGGGGTGTTTGAGACTGTTCCGTTCCACGTTTTTTAGTCAAACGATTTTAGCTGCACGCACCGGAAAAAAAAGGACGAAGTTGTGAGAGCACTAAAGAGATACTCCACGAACTCTGGTTTCTGGAAAGTTGTTTCACGGTGAAGTTCGTGGAGCAATCATGGTCAGTCTTAAAAGAAAAAATGCAGGTGCACACACTGCTAAAGATAGAGGAGGCGCGTGTATCAGTGTGTGGAGTAAAAGGAGAGAGAAGCCAGACTTGACTGGTTGGAGTTGGACCGTGCATATGCATGCATGTCGTGTGCAGTAAAAGTCCGTGCACCGACGAATCGCCATACCACCGTCAGACTGATGCCTAGAAGGAAGGAAAGGCTGGTCTGGTCGCGGCGGCCTGTGACGTGATCCCGGAATTGGCGGTAGGACAGTACACGAAGACGCGGCGAAGGGATCACCTTTTTTAAGAAATCTTTTTTTTTGCAGGTCGTCTCGTTTTCTTTACGCTACTGCTGCTAGGGTAGGTAGAAATCGTTTGGTCTCCATCGACACATATGCAGCATGCCTGCCTCTGCTTGAGCTGGTGCTGGGCGCTGCTAGGCGGTTGGTTCGGTTACCCGCACTCGCACGCAAGCGGCGACCGGCGAGGCCAGGCGCCCAGGCCAGGCGCCCAGGCCCCCCTTTCGTCGCCGCTCGCCCGGGCTGCCCGCCGCTCCGCAAGCGGAGGAGGAGGCGGACAAGTACAGGCGCCGGGATTTGTGTGGCTGGTTCATGCCCGCGGTCGACACGGGTTGTACTCCGTACAAGGCAAGCCACCGGGAGCGGAGCCAGACAGTGTTCGTTCTGTCCCGTGACAACAATTTTGCGTGTGTGTTTCTTTCTAAGATAGAGTTCATATAATAGGTGTGTGAAGGAAAAAAAAAACATACTAGAAAGAAACCGAGTACAACTTATCTCTAGTAAAGTTCAAGGTTCAATAGCATTATACAAGCCAAGTCTACAATATGAGGGCAACAAATGATTATTAGTGCATAGTGCACGGAGCTTCTCCATCAGCTACCCGATACGCCTCTCCTAATAAAGTGATAATATATGTGTCCTAATACCATTTTTTGAATATTGAGAGAAATGCCTCAGCAGATTACCAATAACCTCTCCCAATACATAAATATCACGTCATAGTTTATTTATTTCTCTATTTTCTTCCTCTCGTTTTCTCTCCATGGCAGCATTGGGATCGTCTCCAATTCTACGTCGCGTGCAAGTTCAACGCCCACCCCTTCTCTTCTTCGCTTCAAATCTGGAGTCGCTGCTATGGCCACCGCCCGCAAGCTCCTCCTCCTGGCCACATTCGCGGAGTTCGCCTCTGCCGCCAAAGTCGCCGACGGGCGAGGTGGAGGCGTCCTCGTCACTAGCCACGCGCGCACGGCTAGGCCTCCTGGTGGCGATCGTAGAGGGGTTCGCCTCTGCCTTCGGAGGCGCCGACGGCTGAGGTGGAGGCGTCCTCGTCACCGGCCACGACGTGGGGTCCATAGTATTAGAAAAGATGCAACTCTTGGGAGACTGCTAGAGCAAGAAGAAGAAAAAAAAACTCATCTCCCCCTAACCTGATGGATTTATAGAGATAATAAGGGGGTGATATTGGAGGACTACTGAAGATGACATTCTCTCGAGAGTCATCAGTGTGTGAAGGAGTTCTCGACATCTTCTCGTCGTCCACATTTGTGCTAGCTGCAGCCTGAAGCTCAACCGACGTGGGCATCCACTGAAAACATCTAATAACATTGTACGTACTATACGCATCAGCCATCGCCCATCGGAGAAGAGAGTTGGCGGTTGTCGGTAGAGCGAGACTAAGCAAGCGCAGCACGTCTACACAGACAGAGAAGGGCGAGCGACGCGGACGCGGACCGGTAAAGCGCCGATTGCCGAAGCGGGTGAGCCCCCACCTCGGCCACGAGTCCAATCCAACAAACCAACCCCGCCGGGGCCGTGGTTGGGGCGGGATCATCAAATGATGCGGTGATGATGATGGCGTGGCCCCCTCGCCGGCACCGGGACGCGACATTTCTTTCCGTTTGGTTTCGTTTGACTACCCGTTCCGCACTTGGCCTGACCCCACCTCGCAGTCCCAGTGCCTTGCGTGTTAAAAGGGCCTCGGCATCCCATCCCGTGTCCGGTGTCCCGCTCCCGTCCCTTGCGCGTTCCGTTCCTTGTTCCTCCGCACCCGCACCCGCACCCCGCCCCACGTCTCGGCTCGCCCCGGCAACGGGCAGCAGCAACAAACCCAGAAGAACCTGAACTGAACCCACCGCACCACCAAGTAGGCAAGGGATCGATCGACACCCCCACCTCCGTCCGTCCCTCGCGAGCGAGGAGCGAGGATGAAGGGCGGCGACATGAGCAGCGTCAGCCCGATGGTGTCCTTCGTGCTGGGCGCCGCCATGGCCACCGTCTGCGTCCTCTTCTTCATGTCCGCCACGCCCGCGCGCCGCCTCGTCGACATCTCCGCCTTCACCTCCGCCGCCTCCAACAACTCCACCGCCGACCTGCAGGGGCTCGCCTCCTCCTCCTCCGACGCCGACGCGGTGGCCGACTCGGCGGCCGCCCTTGCCGCCACCGCCACCCCGGCGCCGGCTCCCGCGCCCGTTCAGGTACTTACGCACCGCAGGCACGCGCGTGCGCCGCCTTCCGTCTTCCCTTCCGTTCGCTTTCCCGAAATTTCGTCCGCTGCTTCAGTTTCGATTCCACGGTGATCAATCCTGGTTGCGTGCGGTTTTGTTTTACTATACTAAAGCAGTTGCGCTTGATCATCGGAGCGAGCGCTTCCTCCAAACACCAATCATTTCTGACGATTTTTTTTGGGGATTGGGGGAGGAGGTGTTTGGAACCGTAGTTTAGTATCTGTTCGTTTAAACTTATCAGTCGATTTATCGGCTTAGTATTTTTCTCCCTTCCTTCAATGTCATCATCAGGTAGTTTCAGCGATCGGCTCACCATTGGTCAGAGAAATGCAGTTCAGTCTGATACGTGTACTTTCCTGCTGCTCTTCTCCTTCATCACTTCTGATTCCGACACAACACAAACAACAGGAACAGTACGAGCTCGCGAATGGAGTCGGTGCCCTGCTAGTTGTACTGCTAGTTAATTTCTTTTTTCTTAAAAAAAAGAGAGGCATAACATGGATGAAGCAGAACAAGACCGGAGTCAGTCCAGGGGGGGGGATGCAAATGCAACGTATCACCAGCAACTGACGAACGAAGGATGGAATAGAAAAACCGAACACAAAAAATAGACAGGACGGGAGAATCCCCTTTGAACAAGTTACGTCGGCGGACGGCGACCGGGTAACAAAAGCGTGACTAGTTTATCAATCGCCCAAAGCGTAAACTCCAAAAGCCACAGAACCAGCCGGCCGCCCTACACACCAGCTCACGTCTCGATGCTAATCCCCTCCTGCTTTCCTTGTTCTATTTTGTTGATGACACAAACACTTTCCCGTCTCCCCATGAACTACTACTCCTCCGGTGACGCGAGGGTGTCTTAGTAGGGTTGAGATACTAATAAAAAAAATCACAGATTCCGTTGATACTCCTCGAGACAGAATTTATTAAGTCTAATTAATTTGTTATTAGCATATATTTACGGTAACACTATATTGTTAAATCATAAACTAATTAGACTTAAAAGATTTGTTTTTTAAATTAGTCGCAAACTATATAATTAATTTTATAATTAACCTATATTTAATACGGCACGTATACGTTAAACATCCGCGAGAGAAACCAAACACGACTACTACTCCAACGGTGAGTACCTTCCCGAATCCGCGATTAAAAACCACCTCATCATTTGTTGCCTTGTCCACATGTTACCAGGTGACAGGAAAAGGATACTGCTAGCGAATGACTCATCGCATGACTTTGTTGCTAATCCCGAGAGCATTCGCCGCGTGTAGTCGTGTACTCCCCTGTATCTGTAGCCTGTCTGGCTGGCTGTGCATCCGCTAGCTGTCTGTCGGCATACTACGCTTGCTTTTACTGCTCGTCGTCGTCAACACCTCCACCGGATCACCACCGCCACCACCCACTGCTTCCCTCAACTGAATCCCTGCCACGTCCACACGTGTCCGCTGCGGCGGTGCACGCGGCCTCGGGAACCGCCCCGTGATCGACGGCCCATGATTGGCGCTCACCCACGCCACTCCGCCCTGCCTGCCCTGCCCATCCTTGACGCCACGAGCCTAGGACACGATCATTCACACGGCGGCTATCACGCACGCGTTCGTGTACCAGCACTAGTGCACCGCGTTTCCGAGCGACGTGCACGACCTATTTTTGTACATGCGATGATCATGGCGCACATGCATATGTACAGCGACACAAGTACAGCAAGAATAATGCGTCTCTTCACTTCCTTAAGTTGACGAGTATGCCGGTGGGACCGCTAGCATTCAGAAATGGCACTGATTGATTGGTTGCCGTTGTATGTATAAATAATAATAATGTACGTACCCACCTTCACCGTATATTGTACACAAATGCTACCGGATCGGATGCAGCGGATGCAAACTGTTCACCTAATGGCTGCTGGCACCGCGCCGCCCGTCGGCTGTTAACGAACAAGCAGCGCGGCCCCGTGCGCCCAACCATTATTGCTGCACCCCCGTTTTGGTCACCTGGCTTTATTCACCTGCCAGCCAGATCACAAGCGTGACGGTGATGCAGCAGCGCACAGCGCAGTCGCACCATCCAATTTTGGAACCGACTCGACTCCATTAGTAGTACATCATGCATAATAGTCACAGAATTAATCAATTAATTAATCATCAAACAAGATTGACTGATTTTGGCGCCTAATAAAGCAACGAGCCAGCATTCTATTCCTGACCAACTGATTGATTAAGCAAAACAATGCATTTGCAGGCACCGTCGCCGTGGGGCGACCTGGAGGAGGTGCTGGCGCGGGCGGCGACCAAGGACCGGACGGTGATCATGACGCAGATCAACGCGGCGTGGACGCGCCCGGGCTCCCTGCTCGACCTCTTCTTCGAGAGCTTCCGCACCGGGGAAGGGGGCGTGGCGCGCCTCCTGGACCACCTCGTCATCGTCACCATGGACCCCGCCGCCTACGAGGGCTGCCAGGCCGTCCACCGCCACTGCTACTTCCTCCGCACCTCCAACGGCATCGACTACCGATCCGAGAAGTCGTTCATGAGCAAGGACTACCTCGAGATGATGTGGGGGCGCAACCGCTTCCAGCAGACGGTGCTCGAGCTCGGCTACAACTTCCTATTCACGGTCAGTACCACTGTTCACTTCTTCAGAATATTCGTTGTTTGCAAATAATGGATCTTCAATTACGCACGCGTTACACGGGCAAACGACGTGAGTTCGTTACGGGGTTCTACTCATCGGAGGTGGTTGAACAATCCAGTAGTCCTGGGTGCAGTGCCTGGTTGTTAAGCTGCGACGAGCGCCGCGCTGCCCTCCGACGACCGGCCGGGAAATGTCCACGGCAGCTACTGCTGCTCAACTTGGACTTTGAAAATGTCTTGTACTGTACGCAGCTAGCGTGATCGCTGTCGATGATAGACCGATTTGCCTGGCTGCCCTCGGGCCTCGGCAGGCATCATGGTCATGTGAGTTGGAACTTTCGGTTTGTCACGTTGGGCCGACGGTTACTTGAGTGGCCACAGAGTTCCAGGCTTCAAAGTGGGTATGATGCCGCGCGCCGTGACAGACGCAAACGGTGACGTAAAGCCCGTAAATTCCTTCTGGACGGCGACCGGTGGCGCCGCCCGGACCCGCCGTGACCGCGAGCTCAGGCTCGCCCGGACAAGGAGATATCGTTAAAGATAGTAGCTTTATTACGGATGATTCGATGAAGAAGAAAATAGTACTAGTAATCATATATGGCTGTAATATGGTTGCGTTGTTGCTGGGTGCAGGACGTGGACGTGATGTGGTTCCGTGACCCGTTCCGGCACATCTCGATGGCGGCGGACATCGCCATCTCCAGCGACATGTACATCGGCGACCCCTACAGCCTGCGCAACTTCCCCAACGGGGGTTTCCTCTTCGTGCGGTCGTCGGCCAAGACCATCGACTTCTACCGGGCGTGGCAGCAGGGCCGGTGGCGCTTCTTCGGGAAGCACGAGCAGGACGTGTTCAACCTCATCAAGCACGAGATGGCGCCCAAGCTGGACCTCGCCATCCAGTTCCTCGACACCGCCTACATCAGCGGCTTCTGCCAGCTCAGCAAGGACCTCAACAAGATCTGCACCCTCCATGCGAACTGCTGCGTCGGCCTCGGCGCCAAGCTCCACGACCTGCGCGGGGTGCTCGACGTCTGGAGGAACTACACTGCCGGCACACCCGACGAGCGCCGCGCAGGCAAGTTCCAGTGGAAGCTCCCGGGCATCTGCATCCACTGAGGATCTTCATCGAGGAGAGCACCCGGCGAACGGCGAGTCCGGCAGCGGCATCATCCATCACCTGCTGCAGGGTGGCGGTGGCTGCCTCCCCGTGCCCGGTGCCCGGCCGGTTTCATCGCTCGATCTTGTCCATCCTTTCTCTGGCTCTTGGTTCTTGGCGTGAAATTTCAGGAGGTTGCGTTGAGGGGTAGGTTCCATTCTTTTGATTCGTCATCATCAAAGGTTATACTAGTAGGTAGCTAGAATTCAGGAAAAATCGTTAAGTTATACTGCTCCGTGTGTATGTATGCCCACAGCACAGATTATATAATATGTATCTAATATCGTTGATCTGCACCTGTAAATCAAGATGGATGAATGCCACAGGCAGCGCCCATTTATCGCCAACAGACTCATTCTCACGCGTTGCCTCTTCGATTCAGAGCAAATTTTCAGATGTTGAACTAGCCTTGCTGCTACTACACTGCGTGATCAGGATGCAGCTCATATTCAGAGCAAATTTTAACATTCTCTGGGCTGGGCAACATGAGATCAGGATGCAGCCAGGTGCTTGGCTAGTTAACAGTAGCACTGCAACAGAGCTCGAGAGCCGTTGCGAATTCGCATGGGCCACAACTGCACCTGGTACATATGGGCTGGGTCGGCGGCAGCTACTGGCAAAGCTATATATAGGCTGTGTGTGCTTCCTTTTTTGCCCCGCTTAATAAAGGCCCAGGTTTTGGGTGCTGGGCCCCTTTAGAAAGTTGTTAGATGATGACAAAGTGGCCCTGCAAGGAATGTGCCAGAACCAAATACTCGCATCTCATACGTGTGCTGGGTTTGTAAATTGTAATGTTGGGAGTTTTTTTTTGTTTCTTCCAAACAGTAAAGATTAGAGAGAAGTTCTACGCATTCAGCGACCCTCATCAAATCAAAAGAAATAAAAGAAGATCGGAGTGTTACAAAAATAACGACACATATATAGGAAGAAATAAAAAGACATTTGTCCATTTATATTAGTAATAAAGAAGAATAAAACTTTTTATAATCTCGAAAGAGGCCAAATAAAAAAAAAGCCTGTTAGTACATGGTGTCATGGTGTATGTATATGGTATCAACCAGTCATCCCTATATATTGGTGTATGTATATGGTGTCGCTCTCATAGGAAATGGGCTTGAAAAGTAATCAAGGACAGTAGTGTAGAGTATACGTGGATTGGATCCGGATCCGGTGGGAGTGGATCGGAGAAGCCCTAAGGACCATGGCACTATGGCAGGCTTAGCTCTGTTAGATTGATCTCCTAACCAATAAGCTCAACGGCTTATTGGGCCTTGGTCACGCGCCCTGATCGGGGGCGCCCAACCCTACATGGTTGGTGGGCCCCCGTCGCACTGCGCTATATAAAGAGGTGGGGCCGGCGGCTCAAAGCACGAGGTTCGGGCCGTGAGCCGCAAAACCCACCGACAAACCCTAGACCGATCTAAGAGGCGCTGACCCAATGACGGAAGCACGTGATCCTCGCCGTCGCCATCGCCACGCCTCACCAAGCCTTTGCATCGACGTCCGCGCAACCTCTACTCCACCCCATTGTTGCCGTGTGTTTGCCGCCCATCACCGAACCAGCGATGGCCAAAGACAAGCTGCGACTTCATCTGAAGGCTCGGGTTCATCACCGACCCCTCTCTACCCTATCTCCTCTCGGTGTAGTATTCTAGGTCTAAATGTGCATGTGCTTCATTTGGTCTAAGTATTCATCCGTCTAGATCTACCCTAGTCGATCCACGCTTTATAACAATGGTACCAGAGCCACGGTTTAGGTATAGATATGGCTAGGGTTTTGATCTAGAAAGTAGAAAGGGCTTGGCCGACAAAGGGTTGGTTGAACCCTAAACTCGAGAAAACATGATGGTTCGGGAAAAGTGAAGAATCGAACATCCAAACCCTAGATCGGGTTTTGGGATAGAGAAAACCGAAAGCAATTAAACCCGAAGGTGATTCGGGAAAAAAATAACAGTCGTTGCCCCCTAACCCTAACCCTAACCCTAATCGGAAATCGTGCAAAATCCGAACAAACGAATCAAAGAAACCGAAGGGAAGGAGTGGCTTTACCGCCGTCGTGCACGCCACCACGCTGGGAAAAGAAAGGGCCCGGTGGGGTGAACCGCTTTCCGGAACAGCCTACGTGAGGCGCCATGCCAAGCCGCTCGATGGCGGGCGCGCTCACCGGGAGCGCGCGACGCCGGGCGAGGGGCCGGAGAGCAGCGCGGGGCTTGCCGCTCGCTCTCGCCGTCAAAGCCTCGCTTCGGATCGCCGCTGTGCGGACCGAGTGGAGAGGAGAGGGCGATGGCGAAGAGAGAGAGAGAGCGAAGTCGAATGGCGCTAGGGTTCAAAGGAGCCGCGGCCATGGTCGCCGAGTTTTGATCTGCGATGCTGTGCGGGCAGCCGCCGGATGGAGACGGACGGCCACGAGCGAAGTGGGGCCAAGTCGCATGCCCAGCGGGATAGGGCGCGAGGTGAAATCCGCCCAGCCCAGTTGCGGCTCTGGCGCTGGAAGCTTGCGTGGTTGATGGCAGCACAAGGACCGGACCGGAGAGCGGCGAAGCGTTTGGGCCGCGGGCAAGTTTGGCCGAGTCTTGTTGGCTGCGCAGCGCGTGAATAGGCTATGGGCCGTTTACCGGGCCGCAGCAAAACCGATTCTTGGATCGGCCGAAATGGCCAAATAAATAGTAAAGTCACAGTTTTTTATTTTCTTATTTTCCAGAAAACAGTTTGATCAATTTGAATTGAATTTTGTGATCATTTTCTGTACAAAATTCATCCAACGATAATTTTGTTCAGTAAATAGTAAAGTTGCTTCTGGAAAATAGGAAAATGATCATTGAATGTTAATGTTTCCGCTGCGTATTTAAAGTAATTATGGACTTTTAATTAAATTCAAACCAACGGGAGAATTTGATTTTAAGAGCCAAGAGATAAATATAAGTTGATTATGATATTGTTATTTTCTAACCAACGTTGTTAATATCAATATTATAATTTTAATGATTATGCATTATTTCTACTTCTGCCCAACGGTGATGTAGATTTAATGTATAAAATAATTGTATGTTTTAATTTTGACCAACGTTAAACTAAGGCATGCAATTATTGTTGTTATTTCTGTTCTCACACTATTTGAATTGTGTTCGGGGAGGATACAACTTAATGAGTTGTATCAAAGAGATCCCCACTCTAAAAGGTGATAACTATAATGAGTGAAAGAAAAAGATAGACTGGCCTTCATCCTCATTGAGGTGGATCTGGTTGTCATTACACCGAGTGCCCTGCAGAACCCGTGGCACCGGTGAGGGAGACCGATGAGACCGATGTTGCATGGCGAGAATAGAGAGCGGATTTTGCTCCCGTAAAGATGTCCTATGACCTTGAGCATAGAAATGGGTCACCGCCAACAAGAAGTGTTTGACAAGTGATAAAGAACACAATTGAGCTCTGCTATTGTGGGCTCAATTCTGCATCGTGACACGGTCACAGAGTACCTAGATAGAATAAAGAGTCGATTCATTTGGCTCTTCAAAGATCATATATGCAACCCGGTGATCAAGCATTTGGTTACAAAAAGGTACTCTGGTGGCGGCGGTGGCATTAGAGAGCACATATCGAGAATGAGCAATCGGCATCTAAGCTCAAACCAATGGATTTGGCACTCAAGGATGAGTTTCTTATTCATTTGATTTTTGCTTCTTTGCCCAAAGAATTTGACACCTTTATTGTTAATTACAACATACTGACTGAAAAATGGGATTTAGAAAAGCTCATAGCCATGTAATGTGTGGAGGAGGAAAGAATAAAAGTTTCACAAGGTGGTTCATCAACTACCTAAAAGATAAGAAAAAGAACTATTATAATGACTCTTCCTCCAAGTCATCCGAAAAGGTCCCATGCTGCAGGTCTCAGAATCAGCAATTCCCAGTGGCTAAAGACCGGTGTCTCTCCTTTGAAGAAGACGGGACATTATAAAAAGAAGCATCCCGATTTCCTAAAGATGATAATGAAGAATAAAGGTGAGAACATTATTACGTTCAGTAAATGAATCCTTGTATGTAAAGTTTTCAAAATCTACTTGGTGGATTGATTGGTGCAACTATTCATGTTGCTAATTCATTCTGAGGATTCCGTTCGATGAGAACTTTGCAAAGAAGCGAAAGTTTCATTAAAGTCGCAAATGGAGTACAAGCAGAAGTTGAGGCCGTTGGAGATCTTCCTCTAGAGCTTCCAGATGGCTTTATACTTTTTCTTAGAGATGTTCTTTATGTACCTTCTTTGCAAAGAAACCTGATTAGTGTATCAAAGTTGGACCATGATGGTTATGATTGCCATTTTGGAAATGGCAAATGTCGATATTGTTTAATAATAAATGTGTTGGTCTTGCCTTCCGACAAGACGAGCTTTATTTGTTATCACTTCGTGAAAATGTGAATTCCGTATGTGATGTGAATGAAAATGTATCCTCATCGAACAATGAAAACAGAAAACGAAAGAGAGCTCACGATGCGTTGTCGAAATTATGGCACTGTCGTTTAGGCCATATTTCGAGGGGAGAATAGAAAGACTAGTTAAGAATAATATTCTTCCTTCATTAGAGCTCTCGAGTTAGAACAATGTAGAGATTGCATAAAGAAAGTATGTAAAGAAAATTAAGAAAGATGCCAAAGCGAGGCGCTGGAATTCTCTGATTATTCACATAGACATATGTGGTCCTTTTCCTATGAAAAGTGTGGATGGTTATGATTCATTCATAACATTCTGACGATTACTCTCGATTTGGCTATATTTATCCAATTAAAGAAAGAATGAAGCGTTGGATAAATTCAAAATATTTAAAGCGAAGTTGAAAATCAGCATGATTTAAAGATTAAGATAGTCGGTCGACCGTGGTGGAGAGTACTACGGTCGGCATACCCCATATGGACAAGTTCTGGACCCTTTGCAAGGTTCTTACAGGAGAATGGTATAGTCGCCC